CTAAGATTATTGGGCCAGATTTGTCCCAAGAATAGTTTTTACATTTTTAAATTGTTAGGGAAAAGATCAAAAGAATATTTTGTGACACATGAAAATATAAGAAGCTCAATATTTCCATAAATAAAGTTTTATTGGAACATAGCCACACTCATTGATTTATATATTAATTAATAAATTAATTAATCTGGGGCTGCTTTTGCATTATAGCAGCAGTGTTGATTAGCAGAGACAGACCATATGGCCCGCAAAGCCTACAATATTTACTGTCTGGCCTGTTACAGAAAAAGTTTGATGACTCGAATTAGAGTAACTTCACTTTGATCCATCTAATTTATTGTTCTTCCCCATGGGAGTTCATTTGAAGAAAGTATTCTGCCTTAAAAACAAGTTTTTTGTTTTTTTTTAAATATGTGAACTTTTCAAAAGGTCAGCCTGAACGAACTAGCATTCTTGTTCATTTGCCACTTGGGGGTTCACAGTTCAGTCTGAAAATACAGATTGAGTAATTCAGGGCAATATTTGAAGATCCATTATGGGTGATAGAAAGATTAATCATTTGTGCCACCAGAGATTTTAAATCTGGTAGAGGCATAAGAAACATATTCCTCCTTATTTTGTAATTTTTTGCATATTTTTCGCAAAAGAGATTAAACATAGTTTAAAAGAAGGGCATTTGATCATTCATGTTCTCTCAAATTGATAGCCAGCAAATTGCTACCAGTTCAACAAATTCCCCCTTTCTCATTTTTCCAAACTCAAGGATATATTACCTAAAAGTGTTGGTCTACTTTAGCTGTCACTCCTGTTTCCATAGTAACCAATACATTCCTGTAACACTTTTTTTTTTTTTAAGATTTTTATTGGGGAATTGGGGGATGGGAATAGCGCTGGGGAATTGGGGGAAGGGGAACAGACAAGTTGCTGTCCTTTTGTTCTTTAAGTCTAGTTGTGGAGGATGTTGCTTCACTGGCCCAAGTTGGCACCATCATTGCACTCTTCCCGGGCATATCAGTCGCTGATGGTGGCTGCTGGCCACTCAAGCTGGCTGCTGGCTACATACGGTAGCCCATGGCAACCCACTGCAGCAGGGGCTGCAGCCTACACTTGGCATCGCAGGCGACTCACGGTAGCCCAGCTCCAGGTTGAGCTGTTGTTCAACATCTTAGCTGTAGAGGGCAGTGTCACTGGCCCTCCTATGTGGGATCCGAATCAGGGCCCTCTGGTGTCCCAAGCCAGCTCTTAACCAACGCACCACTTGGCCGGCCCTCCTGTAACACTTTTTGATAACCAATCACTTCTATTTATTTCAGGACACAATTTTTAGACCCTTGAATGATACTGAGTTATAACCCTGTTTAAGTATCCATAGGGTATTTTATTTTTGCAAAGATAGGTTCTAAAAATCATAAAACCAGATAGATCAATAATACACATATCAAAATTAGATTAAAATTTTAGTCATGACTCTCATTCACTCTGTCCTGGCATTAAAGATGTTATAAAGATATTCGGAATACCAGCAAGTATCCCAACATTTACAGACATAGGTCTTGGTCTGCTTTTAGCAAAAAGAAACCATCCAAATTTTATTCTTTATACTACTAACATGATTTAACTTTGGTACATGGTATTACTATTTATCCTACTGCAGCAAGTTCTAGTTTTTTCAAGGCCTTTCCCCCAACTTTTCTGGAAGTAAAATACATTATTTTCAGCCTTCAAATTAAAGTGTTATCCTCATAAGTATATGTACCAGGTTGGTATATTCACATATGTCTTTTCTAATTTCAGGCTAAGCTAAAACATGCATTTAGAGCTATATTAAAGCAAAAGACAGTCCAACCTAATATCAAGAGAAAATGTGACCTTCCACACAGCATTTGATATGGAGAACATTGATTTTGATATATTGTATTCAAATACCAGTCTGATCACACATGATCCAAGAACATTCAAATAATAAACCTGAAAGAAACAGGTATTAACGATTGTCTTCAAATATTATAGCCAATGATACCACGCTTGCCTGTGATCTCGCCAACATAAAACCACATCCCCACTTCAGTGGCCACCAAACCATTCAGCAGCGCTTCCTTAAATGAGCTGTTTGGAGCGTCCAGTTTGAGCACTATTGACTACTTTTTCAAGTTCTGAATAGCTGTAGGGATCTCAGCAGGGGGTGGAGGTACCAGCTCAACCTTGGCATAAGGCAAAAATGTGGCCAATCCAGGCTTCGAGTAAATCACAACAGTGTTTACCAGCGCAGGGGCCTTCTCTGCGAGATTAGGGACAAACTGGACCATGGTTCTAGGATGGAAAGTCCGTGGCCTCCACATTGCTGAAATTATTAATTTGCTTGGTGTCGCTGTACTAAACTATAAGTAAGCATTAGTGTCTTCCTCTAGACACAGGTGGGACTATTTATAATTTTAGGTAGTATAGTATAATATTTTAGAGCATTGACTTTGGAGTTAGATATATCCTGCTTTCTGTAGTTGAGTGAATCTGTTACCTCATGTATGAGATGGGAATAACAACAGTGATGATGATGATGATGATGATGATACCTTTTAGAGTTTGTTGTGAACCTTAACAGACAATGCATGTAAAATGCTACTTAACCTTTTGCCACATAGTAAGTACTATGTTGTTATGTGGTTGGAAATTATTATTATTTTAAAAGATTTTATTGGGGAATTGGGGAAGGGGAAGAGCGTTGGGGAATTGGGGAAGGGGAACAGACAAGTTGCTGTCCTTTTGTTCTTCAGTCTAGTTGTGGACAACGTCACTTCACTGGTCCATGTTGTTATTGTGATCATTGCACTCTTCCCGGGTGAGGCAGTCTCTTGCTGGCCATTGGACGGCCGCTCACGGCGGCTCATGAAAGCTCACGCCCACTGCCGGACAGCCCCACTGCAGCCTACGCTGTCGCCTGCGACTCACAGCAGCCCAGCTCCAGGTCGAGCTGTTGTTCACCATTTTAGCTGTAGAGGGCGCAGCATCACTGGCCTGCATGTGAGATCTGAACCAGGGGCCCTACTGCTCAGAGCTGGCGTCCCACGCCAACTCCTAACCAATGCGCCACTCGGCTGGCCCTGGAATATTATTTATTTTTTTTAGGGTGATTGTTATTTAATCTCTTAACACCTAACATAAGGTTTTTTTTAAAGTGTTACATTTTTGTTGAATGGAATCAACATTTATTTTTAAACATGTCACCAACTTTAGAGAAGACTGAAAGTTAAAATTAAAGCTTGCTATTTACCCAGAAAGAGTGGTCTTATAGATTTTCATCCAATAGCGATGGTGGTATTTTTGTTTGGTGGGATTGGGGTGATTTTTTTTTTAATCTATTCCAAACCTATGCACTTTTCACATAGTTTATTATAAAGTTCAAGTATAAATTGAGTGCTTATTACAAGGTCTGACAATTAAGTTCATGAACTCATCCTAGAAAAAGTGCTACACATCTCATTGCTGAATATCACTATGGTCACATTCGATGTATTCCCCCTTGGGGAGCTACGCATCAATGCCAGCGCCTAGTCCATCCTTTAAAGCAGTTTTTTTGTTTGTTTGGGTTTTTTTAGCTGAGCCATCCTGCCACCTTTTGGCAGCTCAACGGCAGCTCAGCTAGGGCCGGGCATTGAACTGCTGTTGCTCAGAGCTCAAACTTTTGAGCAAGCTGTTAACCAACTGAGCCACTCGGTAGGCCCTTTCAAAGCAGTTTTGGAACTTGTTTTCTGGAATGGTCATCAGAGCTGTAGACATATTACCCTTGATGCCCTGAATGTCATCAAAATGTCTTCCTTTCAATATTTCCTATAATTTTGGGTAAAGAAAGAAGTCATTGGGGGACAGATCAGGTGAGTAGAGAGGGTGTTCCAATACAGTTATTTGTTTACTGGCTAAAAACTCCCTCACAGCCAGTGCTGTGTGAGCTGGTGCATTGTCGTGATGCAAGAGCCATGAATTGTTGGTGAAAAGCTCAGGTTGTTTACGTCTTTTTCACACAGCCTTTTCAGCACTTCCAAATAGTCAACTTGGTTAACTGTTTGTCCAGTTGGTACAAATTCATAATGGCTAATCCCTCTGATATCGAAAAAGGTTAGTTAGCAACATCATTGCAACAAGTTTGTGAACTTAATTGTCAGACCTTGTATGTGCCAGGGATTGTTCTAAGTGCTTTATTTCGTCCTCATGAGAACCCTATGAAGTAGGTATTATTCGGATTTTTAGATGAGACAGCTGAAGCATGAAGACTATAAATTGCCATAGGTTACACAGCTAGTAAGAGGCAAAAGTTGGAATTTGAACATATGTAGTCTGACACCAGAGTTTGTGTTTTAACCGCTGTTCTAATGCTTTTATTAGCCACACTGCCTCATTTGCCATATACTTACTTGTATATAAGCTTATCTTAGGTAACTTTCTTGGAGTTTTAAGTTTGTTTACAATGCCGAGCACTGTATGTATTATTTATTGTAGATAATACATATTTGTGCTTGAATAAATTAATATGATTGTATGATAAAATTACAATTTATACAGTATAATCATTGCCTAATTCTACTTGGTTCAAGTAATAACTGTTTTTCACTCTAGGTCCTCTTAGGAGCTATCTATAGACAGAATTGGCTATTTTGAAGCAATCTAATACTACAAAAATTTGGACAAAGAAATTGCTTAACAAATCTATTTATACTCCTAAATTCATTTTTTCTTGTTGGCACTCAACTAAAAATATCTGTGTATTTTATTTAGAGTTTTCCCTTTTTGGGGTCCCTCTGTTGAATTATTGGTTTGGTTTTTTTGTTTTTGTTTTTGTTTTTAATGTTAAATGGCATTGTGACATAATTAAATTCTTTATAGATTAAGCATTAAGGAATTTAGGTGTACTAGTCCTAATAGTGAAGTTTGTTTGGTATTGAATTTGGCCTCTAAAACTTTTGAAACAGTAATGATCTTGAAATTTGCTTTTTTTAATATGTCTTTTTCAGAATTCTCCACTTTACCAGTACTTACAGGATCTGGGACATACAGACTTTGAAATATGTTCTTCTCTGTCACCAAAACCAGAAAAATGCACAGTGACAGAGGGGCAGCAAAAGCCTCCTACAAGAGCCCTGCCAAAAGTAAGAAAGCATGCTCATCCACTGTGACTTAATCTTTTGTTCTTTACCGTACAAAAAAACAAAAATAAGAAAACACCTTGTAAGTGCCTCCATGTCCTCCCCCACACTGGAAAGAATTTATTTTATATTTCATCAGTAGTATAAAATTGTCTGTTTAGGTACACATGAATCCTTGCTGTTTTGGACAATCTCACAGGTAATTTGTACAAGGTATGGAAATATGGTTGAGGATTAAAATATTTATTTAAATATTGACATTATCTGGAAGGGACCAGAAAAATATACTAAAACCTTGATGAGAACCCAATTATTAGGACTCCTATGTTAACTGGAATTTTTTTTCTTTAAATTTTTTTTTTTTTTAAAGAGCACAAACTATAAGAAAGCAAATTAGTAAGATATTTTATAAACATTTTCAAGGATATGAAATGGAGTAGGTATACTAACCTCAATTTCTGATGCTCTTTATATCTGTAGTATTATATATTTTTATACAGTAAATATCTCATAGTTGATGTATAGCATTACAAGGCTGAGATACTAGAAGAATCTCCATTGATTATGTTCTACAAAATGAATTAACTAATGAATTCATTTATGTCCTGTTAGATATATTTACTAAAGAAAATATTCCAGTACATTTCAGTTTTAACACACCGAATTCTAATTTAGTAGAAAAAATATACCCAGACTGCCTAATGTCTTGAGAATTTTGGTTTAATCAATGTTTTATTACAAGACTCAATTACTTTCAGGAGGAGGCATTAAAGTTTTCGCTCATTTACTCTGTGGTGATAGAAGCCTTTTCTTTTGTTCTTAGAAAACCCCTAAAATGTGAGGTAACCAAGCTGGGCCCATTTACAACAGCAGAGTAAATACAAGAGAAACAATTTGTGTTTTGTTTTTTTTACTAAACCCACAAGATGGGAGTTAGGGGAGTGAAAGCTCACGTTGATCAGAACCAGTTTTGCTAGTTCTCTGTGCTTATCTTGCCCCTTTCAAATATGAATGTTCCTAGGAAAAGTTTTGAAAGGAAAACCTAGGTATATCTAATTGGTTATTTATAGATTAAAACTTGGATTTGAGATTACTTGGCAACAAAAGACAAAGAAAGGGACAAGGGATAATCTTGGGGCAGGAGGTTAGCATTGGCCTCTTGGGTTTTGTAGGCATTCAATCCTTTTCATTTATGACAAGAATTTTTACATGTAGAAATGTTACTATTAATTTATAGTAAATAAAATGAGATTTTAAAATGTCATTTCTTCAGAAATTGAGGAATAATAAAAAGCATAGCCAGAGGATGTTTTTCAAAATTACCACATATGTAGAAAGTTTGTGTGGTCTTAGTCTTACCTTTCAACTGTATGAGCTATATTTTTCTAAAATGGAGTTTTTCTAAATCTGAGGAAGCTAAATTTTAGAGAATTATACTATTTAGTTCCTTCTTAGCAGATATATTTTCAGAATTGTGCTCAAAA